AAATCATTCTTGCACGGGATATGCTCTGCTTTAGCTTGAAGCAGTTCGTCGCAATGGAAAAGTCCGCTCTTCGAGCGAATCAGAACATGTTGAGCTACTACCACGCAGCAACACAACAGCTAGTTCGCCACCGTCAAGCAGATCACTTCTAGGTCATGAGTGATGCGTAAAGCATTTATATTAGTTTTTGTTTCAAATCTTGGTTCATTTCTCTTAGATATTTGAAGATTTCCTATATGTTATCGCTATATTTATGTAGAACCGATTTATTTGCGTGCCATGTGTTACCATTGTGTATGCAGATGTAGAGATCAGAGATAATAATTACGCTTGGAAAGGAACGGAAAAATACTCTTCAATTTGACCTTGCTCGAAACAATGATAGGATCATACGGTTATTTTTGATTGTTTATGCCTCCAATCGCGGCTAAGTTTTAGAGATATTTTGCTTCCATTTGTTGTTCGATACAGCCAAGTCATGATATATTTGTATTCTCATATATTCCATTTATACTTCTCAGAAGAACTGCTTATATCATAGTGAAAGACGAAGTGTTGTTGGTTCATGACATGCATTTCATTCCATTTCATTCCTCCTTTTCCTGAAATATCGCCTTTATTTAATATATTAATCTTGTTAGTCTTGATGCACTTATGTTTGCCTGAACAGCAAAGCTATTCTTTTTACCATGTATATTATGGATCTTCTCAATGAGCTCTACTGAACTGACATTCGCGGTGTTTTAAGCCTTCGCATGCGTGTATCACGGTAATTTATAGTGTACTGCAAACTAGATTTGATTATATATATTGTCAATTTTATGAATTGTAGTTCGTTCACCTAGTTTAGCGGCTTTGTTCTAACACAGTTTTGATCGTCACATGAATTGTTTTGCCATAATCCCGAGCAATTTGCAGTATGTTTCAGCTGCTAACATTTTTTTGAACAAAAAATCAAATTCCGTGAGGTTTGAAATGGTGTTGTTGCTTCAAAGTCTTTGGTTTTT